GGTACCAGGATTCTATTCAGGAAGCGAGAAAACGACTAAAGATAATAAAACTAAATAATCGATTAAATAAGCCCTAGTAATCGATTATTAATAAATCGCTAAAATCTGAGAATATTTGGCTGATCTTTTTTTGTTGTGTTTGTTATTGTCAAGAGCTTGATTGCGCGTACCAAGTTGCGGGTGGAAGCTATTATGTATATGAATATCAATTCATTAAGGTTTCGTGAAATCGATTTAATCGATTATAGTGTATTTTTTTTCTAACAACCCTTGGCGGCTTGCGTTTGATTGACAATGACTGACAGATGTACTTGTTTGTTTACTTTCATTCTGAGTGCGCACGTATTATTTTCCTTGTTTTATTGTTTAAATCCACGACCTCGGCTTTGCATATTATAACGGACTATTCGACGGATCTTGCTACTCTGAATTACCTTACTCTCTATTTTGGACAACTGTTCTATTTTGGACAACTGACACCTATCGACGACATGGATCGCTGTATAAATTGTACGATGGCGATTGGTCGCAGTAATCCTATTAAGAGAAAAGTCTTGGAGAATGAGGCGATTTTAACAGTTATTTGTCAGTGGCGAAGCGAATGATTCAAAAGTATTTCAGAAATTACACAAAAAAAAATCACAATGTATGATATGATACTATAACCTAACTTTTACTATAATTCAGATAATTTGGTTTCTAGGAAGCCAAATTTCACCAAATTCTCAGTTAAACCTTGATATTATATCCTCTTACATATTTCTAATTTCATTTAGTTAACACCTGGGCCCAGGAATCTATGGAGCCATTCCCTTCTCCTTTGCGATCTATTAGGACGATGTAATTACCAAATTAATACCAAAAAAATAAAAATACCATAGAAATACCAAAAAAATAAATATAAACTTATATTTTTTGTACATACCAACAATATGTATCCAGTTCTCAATTTCTTGTTCGACATGTTTCTGGTCGTACCCGCGCAGTGTGAGCACGAGCCTCAAGTTGTCGCGACCAGTCTGGAACATGTCCAGCCCGAAGAATTGGGGGCAGTAGCCGAGCGTTTGTAGGTACTAAAGGGAAACAAATAGAAATATTTATCTGAGGCTTATTCTAAATTAGGTATTTATTGCAAACTTTCATTTATTCTCGTAGTATGTATGGAACAGTAAGAAGTGACCAACCTGTGGGTTCCCCCGCGTGAGTCTGTACCCGTTTCCAAATATATCTCCCCTGGTGGCACTCTCCTCCGCAGTGAGCATCTTGAATGTACTGGACTTGCCCGCTCCATTCACACCCAGCAGACCGAAGCATTCACCTACATACAGGAACCATGGTTAGTCTAAGCGCGCACTATGACTTTCAATCGCGCGTTTAATTGACGCCAAATTGCAGCAACATATGGGTTGACCTACCAACGGCAAGTACCAATGAGACTTTTTCCGAGATATATGTACTTTCTAAGATTATTTAGATACCACTGACAAACGGTGAAAGAAAACATCGTGAGGAAACCTGGGGTTATAATTTCTAATTATAAGTTTGAAATCGATAACCCGCATTGAGCAAGCGTGGTGGTTAATGCTCAAACCTTCTCCGTGTGAGAAGAGGCTTTTGGTCAGTTGTGGCCACTTATAGGCTGTTGGTGTAAAATGTTCACTAGCGTTGCGTGGATCGATGGGCGACACTGATCGCCATCAGGGCCTTTAGCCAAACGCCACTTTAGCGCTTGTCTACAGAGAGAGTAGAAATCAAAATGTATGGAGATGACACTGACCAGTGTCAAAATTTATGTCAATTTCATATAATTTGGTTTTCTATTCTACATGTAGACAAGCGCTAAATGGCATTTGGCTACAGCTGCTGGTGATCTGTGTGGTCGTTTGCCGCCCTACAGAATAACTAGAGCCAGTAAAACTAAGTACATTATATTAAAAACTAGCTTTTACCCGCGGCTTCGCGCGCGTCACAAAAGGATAAAAAGTAGCCTATGTGACATATACCAATACACATAGCGCCATCTATACCAATACACATAGCGCCATCTATACCAATACTTTTGTTTTCCCTTGGAAATATCAATTTTTTCCGGGATAAAAAGTATCCTATTATTTAATCTGGACATCTAACTTTACGTCTGCAAAAAATCAAAGCAATCGGTTTAGTAGTTACGGAGTGAAAGCAGAACAAACAAATAAACTCACTTTCCGATTTATAATATTAGTAAGGATTTTGACACTCTTCTTCAGTATCGACACGTAGTTCTTGTGGATGTCATTCACTAACATCGCGTCCGGGATCTGTTTAGATGCTGGAAAATGATTAAATTATTTTAGACTTTATTGCTATTGACATAATGTTTATTTTCCTTTACAACAATTGATGTTTAGGTTGGTTTTCAGAACACAAGTTTCATTACTCATATCTTTCCTATTGAAGTCTATTTTTCAACATTTTAATTACTGAAAGTAACTTTAAAGCTATTACAATAGAGTTGAACACTCTTTAACTGAGGAATAGAGTACAAAATACGATGACACGCGGAGTTCCGTAGCATTCTATAAAGAACTTTAACAGAATTAAGAATCGTTGTACTGTTCTTATATGAGAATTCTAAAAACAACCCTAACGTCTTTAAAATAAAGTTAATAACAATACATACGTAGAGTGATGGCTCGACTGACGTACGCTTTCTCAGCGCGTACCATTTCATCCGCGTGCGCGTCCGTAGTGGGCTGGTAGCGGAGGTTGGCTAGTTTGTTTACCAAGCCGTTTAAGAAACCACGCTCCGTTAGGAATACCATCGCCTGTTGTGTAAAAACATTGATTTATTTATGGTAGTAAATGAGTAGACGTATGACTTCATAGTAAGCAGTCTCTAGCCTATGGACACTTGAAACACTAGAGTAGTTACAAGTGCTTTTTCCGCCTTTTGGGGATTAGATGGTGATTGGAGGGTGGTATGCTGCGATAAACAACATAAACGTTGAACACAAGAACATTTATCCATGCGGTAATCGAATCCGTAACACTTTGATAAGCAGCCAATATCATATTTTTACTCACTAGACGGCCCAAATTAAAATGTGTTTTTTTTGTTCAATCACAGCAGCTGTCAAAAATTAAACGTCAAATGGGGTGACACTAGGTACTTCCCTATTGGACGATGAATGGAAGGTTCTCAGTGGCGCCATCTAGTGAGCAAACCAGTCATTTTGCAAACCGTGCAGTCTAATAATGAGATAGACGTTAATAATAGACGAAAGTAATAGTTACCATGAGGACTGTGAACTGCAGAAAGAGTACAATCATGTTGTAGCCGGGAGAGAAGTCGTCTATGCAGAAATAGCATCGCGGGTTCTCACCGGCTGCAACAAGAACCATAGGATAATTCTTATAAAATTTTACAATTTAATTAGCTAAAAAAGGAGTTGAATTAAAAACCTCTACCTTTTTCTGGAGTTGGGTAAAAAACCAAATATGGTCAATTTGTGATAAGATTTTGTCAAAAACTACGTACAAAAAGTGTCAAAGTTCTATTTCTAGTAGCCAAATTAATACCGATCGGGTGGGATAAACCCGCCAAAACCTCCCAAAACCGCTGTAGCTCTTGTACACCAGGATCTACAGTAGACACAACCATGCAAACATTGAAGTATTGAAATCTGGCGCTTCAAAGACATGATAACTATTTAAAACCTGCATCGAAATGATTCATTTCTAGAAGATTCTATTATCTAAAGAAACAAAATGCCGATATCGATATGATGTTAAAAATGGTTGTTATTGCGTCGATCTAATTGGGTACTCGCAAACTAGTAAAATGAAATACTTTTTTCGAACTGTCAAAAACGACAGTCTTCTATGAATTTTGTACGAGATTGTGTATTGTGACGTCACGTTTTTTTAGCGTCAAACAGCAAACTCATTTGTTAATACTAAAATTAAGTTGGTCATAAAATCAATTAATGAAAGTGTGACTATTTTTTAATATTTGATTGTATTGAACAGTCGAAATAATTTATGATTAAGGAAAGTACTCAATTGGTCCAAGTAATTTATAATAATATCAAAAATTAAAAATATAGTATTAATGTAGTATATTTACCGCAGCACTTTTCTACATCGAATCCGTTTTCGTTGGCGTAAGCTCCTGGGCAGAATTTCTTGGCGCGTATATAATGACACATGGCGTTAAGGTGTCCGACATTGAGCGCCTGCAGCACTGCCGTCACACCGGTGTGGGGGGGCATCACATACCCACACGTTGCCAGGGCCATGTGTATCAGTCCGCGAGGGGAGTTTAAGAAGAGTTTTTGTGCCGCCTCCATGAAGGGAGTCAGTAAACCTGCGGTAGATTGAACATTCTTTACTGTGCACCATTAATGTAAATTAATTATATAAAAATCGGAATATTTAAGCATTTAATTATGTTGTACGGGCAACATCAAAAGTTGATAAACACATTTAGAAATATTTTTTTTAACAATACCTAAATCGGTCTACAATAGCTTGTCATGTTCTCCGATTTAGGTATAATATGGTCTTCAGCGAATTTGAAAATCTGACCGTACAATCACTTTCCAGGCAACCTTAGAATGGACATTATCTAGACTCTAAACGAAGAAAATAGAAATTCATAAATTAAAAACGGAAAACACGCTTTTAACCACATGTCCTCGGCATCGGGAGAAATGATCATTTATAATATCTAATGAGCCTATCAATATATTTATTAGAATTAATTTTGATATTAGTTTGATGGTATAACTATTTAAACTGTCAAACACCAAGCGGTCACCGGTGACCGCAACCTATTGTTCTATAATTGTGTCTACAAAACCGGTACTCGACGAGTTAATTATGTAAGAGAATGGTGACAGACCGAACAAAATGATGCAGATGACGAGTATGAGACTGCTGGACCTTTCCCCGAAGTTGAAGCTGACGATGTACATGAACGCGAAGAATGCCATGCTGCACAGCATCAGGATGAACGCCAGAGTCGCTGTACACATATAAATAATAAATAAAGTGAGGAATAGGTCGGCTCCATCGGAATGATCCACGGCCTCACAGAATCCCCGAATCACCGAAAACCCGAAACTATCCTCATATTCCTAATCCCCAAAAGGTTGGTAACGCACTTGTGGTGTTTCAGGTGTCCATGTGCGGCGTCGATTACTTACCATCAAGTGATCCGTTGGTTCATTTATCGGCTTTACACATAAAAAAAACGAAGATCGGCATGAAACAACGCTGGTGTCCCCATGTGGGTAAGGTTGCCGATAATACAACGCTCGCTTCGCAATTCCCAAATTATCAACCGTTAAAAGGTCTGCAACGTCCTTATATTGATGACGATCGATCGATCGACGACACTTATGTCGGCGATCGCTTACCATCAGGTTGATCTGTCTGCTTGCCGACCATAACAAACTATCTAGAGAAAGAATAATGATTTAAGGTCCATCAAACCGTAATCTACATCATATATACATATACAAAATAAGCTACATCAAAAAGAGTCAAACCGGAAGAGACTTACGGATCCCTTCTTAAAAAAATTGTTCTGTTTTGAAGTAAGTTACCTAGGAAGTCGTGCTGGTTGATGGTTTGGTCCTGGTCGAGCAGTAGCGCGGCGAGGCAGGCGGGCAGCACCAGCGTGGCTAGCGCGGTGGCGCAGTGCGCGGCCAGCGTGGCGGCCCAGTGCAGCTCGGCGGGGCAGCCTCACATCACGTGGATGTGGCGCGCGCCCGACGACCGCTCCTTGCACGGCAGCGAGATACTGTTGATGTTCGTCGCCAGGATTACTGCAACAAACATCGTCCGGGAGACTTAGGTCGGAATACTCGAACGCTATTCAATTTTAAATCGTGCTTAAATGTAGTTCTGTCTCTACAAATTCTTTGTAAAATAACAGAGATGGCACGATATTTAAGCACGACTTAAAATTGAGTAACGTTTCAGTATTCCGGCAGACAAGTTGGCGCGATGCCAACTTGTCTTTGCAACTAATGCGTCTGGGAAAAAATGATCATGCGGGTTGCACAGGGGCCGCAAGTCGCCATAGGTTGCCATACGAAAATGTTTCGGGCACGCCGTGTCATTGGGGACGCACAGGGCTATGCGTGAAGTACTTTAAACAAACTTATTGGCTTTCGTTTCAATTTTGCACATTGTCATCTTTTTTCAACTACAGTGAATTCTTCTCAACATTTTCTGCGTCTCACAGCAAAACTAGAGAGTGATGATTTTTAAACATTAAAGAAAAGACCCTACTCCTTCTTAAACGCACTTGTCTAGTGCGGCTCCGTGCAAGCTGAACACCCATATTTTTTTTTTTTAAAGGGGGGAAAATCATCGAATGACTGCTCCTGAATGACGTTTCCTCCCGCCCCATCAGACACAGGTACCTCCCGAAACTCCCATGTCCGGTGAGGACCTGCGTCAGGCGGTAGGTGAGGACGCCGTAGCGTCTCTCAAGCCACTCCTCAAAGAGGGGACTTACCGCTGCAATGGCAGCGAGCCCAGCCCTCGGTTGCGACAGTCGTTGCTGCCATTCCGCCATGAGATCGCGCCGGAGCTCATCCCGCCACGCACTTATCTGGCGCGGCAGCGGAGTTTCGCCCCGGCGACGTGCCTCCGCGCGCATGCTGTGCACGCGCGCGAGCACCTTCGCCTCCAGATCCCACGGCGGTAATCCGGCAAGGAGGTTCGCCGACTCCCCAGAGATCGTGCGGTATCCGCGGATCATTCGGATCGCCATGACCCTCTGTGCCATGAGCAGCGTCCGAGCGGGACGCCGCAACAGGTTAGGCGCCCAAACAGGGGCGCCGTAGAGGGCCATGGACCGCACGACCCCGGCGTATAACCTCCGGCAGGAGGCGTTTGGCCCCCCGAGGTTGGGGAGGATGCGTTTAAACGCAGCCCCCGTCCTCTCCAACTTTGGAGCCAAACGTCGGAAGTGTTCTATGAAGTTCCACCGACTGTCGAGGACGAGTCCTAGGTACTTCATCGTCGTCTCGACGCCGATGGTAACTCCTCCCGCCGTTATTTGGGACCCACCCGGAGGTGGCGCGTTCCCGCGGCCATGAAAACACATGGCCTCGGACTTGTGGAGCGCCACCTCTAGTCCCAACTGCCGGATTCTCTCAACGACTGTCGCAACCGCTGTCGCCATTAGATCGGCCGCCGCCTGGTGCGACCTCCCGTGCGCTAGAACCAGCGTATCGTCGGCGTAGCATATTGTGCTAACACCGTTCGGGAGGTCGGTGCGCAGCACCCAGTCATACCCGATGTTCCACAGGGGCGGCCCCAGAACCGAACCCTGTGGAACACCGCGTGACATCTCTCGCCGGTTCCACTCGCCCCGGTGACGGACCTGTCCGTCAGGTATGCCTCGATTACACGACGGAGGTAGGTAGGCACCCGATGATATCGGAGTGCCTCCAAGATGCAGCTCCAGGGCAGGGAGTTTAAGGTGTTGGCGATGTCCAGAGACACCGCCACTACGACCTTACCCCTGGACACTGAAGTCCCCGTCGTCCGGTCCCTAACGCACATGATGGCGTCCACCGTGGAGCGGCCTCTGCGGAAGCCGAACTGGCCGTCCGATAGGTCCGGCCCAATGTCCGTCAGGTGCGCGACGAGGCGGTTCGAAATTATTCTTTAGAACACTTTCCCCACCTCGTCGAGCAGCACTATGGGCCGGTATGCGGACGGAGAGTCCGCAGGGCGCCCCGTCTTCCGCACGAGGACCAGTTTGCCCGCTTTCCAGAGAAGCGGGAACTGGCCTCTCTCCAAGCATGCGCTGTAGAGACCGATTAATCGATACCCGAGAGCCTCTGAGGCCAGGACCCATGCATTGCCATGCAAGCCGTCGGGTCCTGGGGCGGTGTTCTTGGCGCCCATTCGGCGCACCGCCGCTCTCAGTTCTGCCTCGGTCACCTCTGGGACGATGTCGTCGTCGTCGTCGCTATAGCCCGCGTCGGGCACCGCAGGGGGCGGAGTCATATACGGAGGGGTGAAGCCCCTCCACAGTCGGGGGAACAGGGCGCCAATCACCTCCAAGACTTCTGGCCGGGACTCTGGGTGAGCGGGGGAGCCCAAGCGCGAAGCTTGTCGCATATCATCCGGTACGGGCGTCCCCACGGATCTCTGTCCAGAGTCCCCAGCATCTCTCGGTGGGGCTCCTCCTTGGCCCGCAATATCTCCACCTTGAGGAGGGCCTTGGCCGCCCTGTATCCCTCGTACAACTCCGCCTCTCTCGCCTCCGCATTAGGAGGACGGATGCGGCGCCTGCGGTGCCTAGTGTACTGGCGTCGCGCAGCAGTGCACGCCTTGCGTAGAGCTGCTAGCTCTTGCGACCACCAGTACACCTGGCGCTTTTGTTGCCTCGACCGGATCCGGGGCATCGCCACGTCACAGATCCTGGACATGGCGTCCTGGAGCCACTTGGCCTCATCGTCTATGTCGGCAGGCCTGACCGGTGGTATCACCCAGGCCTGCACGATGGCGGCTTCCAGGAGCAGCTCCCGGTCCAGCTGTTTCAGCGCCCAACGCGGGCCACATGGGGCCTGTCTGACCGGCGGGTCTGCGGACTCGGCGGAGACGTCGAACCGGATATACCGGTGGTCGGAGTACGTCTCCACCTCCTCCATGACGCGCCAGCCAACAATACGCGGTGACAGAGCAGGGCTGGCGAACGATATGTCCACCACCGACTCGCCCTGCATCCGCACACACGTGGGGACAGAACCCCGGTTCAGGACGACTAGGCCTGTCTCAAGGGCCCAGTCTTCCACCATCCTACCCCGGACGTCGGTGAACCGGGAACCCCAAGCCAAGTTTTTGGCGTTGAAGTCCCCGAGGACGAGCACGGGGAGGGAACGGAACCCGACGACGACAGTGACCAACTCCCTCAAGGAGTTGTGGAACTCGGCGAGAGTTCGGTTCGGAGAGAAGTACACGCCCACCACAGCGAGCTCTCCGAACCGTGCTGCGACACAACCCCGGCCTCTTTGAGCAGCCTCAAGAGTCGGGGTACCGGCGGCGGCCGACGAGATGATGGTCACCGAGCCGTCCAGGTCCGCCACCCAGTGATCCCTGGGCGGGACAAAGTACGGCTCGGAGACCACGGCGACGTTGATTGACCACTGCGCCATGCTCTGGAGCAGGAGATCCTGAGCAGCGGCGCAGTGGTTGATGTTCGCCTGGAGGAGGCGGAATGGAGCCATTATTGGCAGTCCATTCCGACCTCCTCAGTGGCGGCAGCGGCGACTGCGGTGGCAGTGGCGGCGGCGGCGGAGACGACGGGGGCGGCGGAGGGCCTACTTTTGCCCTTGGGTTTGGCGGGAGGGGAGCAGCCCTTGCTCCCGACCCGGTGATTGGCCGGCTTGCCAGCCGCCGCACATGCGTTGCAGTGCAGCGGGGCGTTGCACGAGCCGGCCTTGTGACCGGGCCGACCGCAGCGGAAGCAACAGTCGCTGCGGTCCACCTCCGAGGTGCATTTGACACTCACGTGCTCCCCCACGTGACAGCGGTAGCACCTCAGAGGCCGGGTCTAAGCTGAACACCCATAGCATTGATCGTTTACCATAGATGATCCATCTGCTGATTCAATAAAAGAAGTAAATGACATAAAAGAGTATATATACTAACTGAATGTGATACACATGCCCCACGTGATGAGAGTGACCATGTTCTTGGGCATGCCGACGTCGTCGTCGAGGTTGAGGTCGCTGGGCACGGGCTGGTTGACGGTGGAGATGGTCCGTCCGTCGGCCCACGGCAGCAGGCGCGCGGCCAGCACGTTGCTGAGCACGTTCAGGGCCACCGGCGCCGCGTGGCGGACCGTCGTCGTGTACAGGATCTGGGGCGCCAGGGACATACGTGGTTACACTTTGTATGGTCTTGTTTAGTCCAGAAAACTGAAGCTTAGGTACAGCTTAGCAAAAAAGCTGGAGCTAATATTGGCTTGCACTGATTCACTCGCTCCGGACTATATTCCCAGAATAAACAATCATCCGAATATCTTACTCGTATCTCTTCCTTTTAAAGTCGATAAAAATAATAAATATCAAAATCGTTGAGTCGTAGTGTAGCCAGGATGCCACAGGTACGATACTAGCGACCTTAATTATCTATTATTCCAAAATCTTTTTTGCCAAGCTGCGTATATCTAAGTTTAGCGCCATTACAATTAAAAAAAATATAACCATTTGCATAGTCGGATGTTATAGAAATCACGATACGTGAGTTATTTTTCTTGCACCGTACAATCAAAGACACATTTTAATACAAAACTGATGTTCATACGCAAAAAACATTACCTATATAGCGCAAAAATATTGAAATTTAACACATTAAACGCCACCAGTGACCGACGTGGCAGTCAATACTTTAATTATATCAGTAAAATAAAATCACAAACATGTATTACACCATACCTTGGCGTTAGTGTCATTCAGTTCGATTCCGACCATGTACTTGTTGTACTCCAAGATGTCTCTCTCCCCAGTCTTAAGCACCGCTGTAGACAGAGAAGAATGTATTAGAGGACTCGGTACTAATTTGTTTTACGTTTAACGTGGTCGACACGTCTATGACGTTCGGCGCTCTGATTGGCCGGCACGAATGAACCAACCAATCAGAGGGCTAAACGCGGTAATGTTTTGATTTCGTTAAACAAAATCGTATTAGGCATTCAGAAGCCTTAGTTCGAGTGTGTTTTACGTTTATAGTTATCTAAACGCACATCTCTGCATCACCCCATTGTTGACTGTTAGAGAATGCCACCCGGCATTAAATCCGCCATCGTATGTTTGTTATACAGAAGCGTTAATAAATAAATAAATAGACTAGATTGCGTTCGGTGTTTTCATTTGGTAGGTTCATTGGAGCCGGCCAACCAGAGCGCCATTTGATACAGATTTAATGACGTCACACTGTCTATTAAACTGAATGATGGAAGCATGAACAGTTTTATTTTAAACATAATATGGTAATTTGGCCTCCGGTAATCTCACTTACACGACGAAACACAATACAACGTTGTTTCATGTCGGTCTTCTGTGAGGCCGTGGTATCACTCCGGTTGAGCCGGCCCATTCATGTCGTAGCATGGCTCTCCCACACTTAATATATTATATCGTATATCGGTTTTTACCATCAGCTACGTCGGTGGTTTCTTCGAACTGGAGTTGTGGGAAGTGTTTAGTGAAGGACTTGGTGTCGAGGCCGTCACCCCGTACGTTCAGTAGGACGCGGTGGCCGGGCCGGTCACTGTACAGGTCCAGGTTCAGACGGAGTAATCCCTCCGAATTTTCTTGTAACTCCGAGTTGTTCGTAAAATGCGTCATCGCGACAATCGTTAGGATAGGAAATATCAGTTGCTGAGGACATGCGTTAAAAGAGAATAGTTATTAAAGAAGTAAGTGGTAATTAGAGAAAAAAAAACTAGAAACATAATGTGTAGTTTGTGTCAAACCCGCCCCAATAGTATCGTTATTGTATTTGTAACAAGACACTTGATTAAAGTTTTTAGTTAGAACCCGTCTCTTGTTCGACTCCCGGATGCTCATACTGCAAAATTGTATCATCAATCTATTTGTTCAATAACTCCCATAACTACGGTTAAAAATCGACTTCGACCTCTTTTTTTTAAATCGGTTAATATACTAAAACCCATTCTTAAGTGTACCAACACTTTTCTGAAAACCACATCGAAATCGGTCCAGCCAATCGCGAGATAATCGCGGACAACTATACATACAGATCATATTGATAACTTCCTTCTTTTTTTTGAAGTCGGTTGAAACGAGAATTATTACATATTATTTAAGTAATTATGTAGTATTCACCAGTGATAGAAAAGACCACTTCTTGTGTATGGCATACTTGACTTGTCGTATCAATAAAACCTTCAGTTGTCGCATGTACAGGAGCACGCCTGTCAGACGCTCCTCGGACATATCTGATGACAGAAAAACAATAATCTTACATTAAAAACTAGCTAACGGCTGGTAATATAGTAAGTAACCCATGTTTTTAATTTTTTTAAAACGTTTCCCACACTAGGATTTTCTCTTGTTTCGTGTGTGCGTTTACAAACATACAAGTTCACATACACATGAGACCCGCGCTGTTTGTGTACCGCTATGTGAGTGAGGTGATGGTACTGGAGACCCATTACTCTCTTCCACTATTCCTAATCTTGGGGATTGTATCCTCAATTCTCAAATTCACACAACAACATCACGTCTTTTATCCCTGAAGGGGTAGGCAGAGGTGCACATTATGCCACTGTACAATGTAACACCCACTTTTCACTATTTATGTTATGTGTCCCATGTAATAGGGGGTGAACCTATTGCCATGGACCGGGCACAATTCCAGACCCCGTGCTACTACTGAGAATTTTTTAAACACCCAAATACTTTGCCCGACCCGGGAATCGAACCCGAGACCCCTTGCCCGGCAGTCGCACTTGCGACCACTCGGCAAACGAGGCAGTCAAACAACAGAGCCGTTACAAATGCGTTACCGGCCTTTTTTCATTTCATTCATTCACTTTTAGGGATTAGGAATTTGAATTTGGGGATTGTTGGGGATTCAGGGTTGGGGAGATTGGGGAAGGAGGGGGTGTAATTGGGCCTCCAGTATAACTCGTCTGGTGGTGCAGGTGTGAATGGGTGATATCAATTGCTTACCATTAGGTGATCCGTCTGCTCATTGGCCGGTATATCGTATAGGAATGAGAAAGAAGAAGAAAGAAATAATAATAAAAAGACGCATGTATAATTACCTGGTCCACCGTGACCATCCACTTCATCTTCAGACATCGTATTGTCCACATCGCTGCATAACCTACACGAGAAACGAGATCTAATCAGTCATCCCTAGTGATAAAACTATTGTAAATTTCATAATACTGTCCCGGAATTGAACTTGAGACGCTCTTCGCCCGTTATGTTATGATTCCCATGTAATAGGGCTGAGCCTATTGCCATATACCCGGCGCAATTCTAGACTCCGTGCTACTAAAGGGAAATTTAGAAAAACGAGTAAAGTCTCAGTAATATTATGCCCGACCTGGGAATTGAACCCGAGACCCCCTTATCCGGCAGTTGCACGTGCGGCTATTTGCGGCCAAGCACGAATAATTATCGCATTCGTAACGTAATAGTATCGACCGCGTTCGGCGCTCTGATTGACCGGCTCCAGTGAACTAAGTAATCAGAGCGCCAAGCACGAATAATTATCGCATTCGTAACGTAATAGTATCGAGCACGTTCGGCGCTCTGATTGACCGGCTCCAGTGAACTAACTAATCAGAGCGCCAAGCACGAATAATTATCGCATTCGTAAACGTACTCGTTTCGATTTGTAAACGTAAAAGAAAGTCGTACTAAGCCATTAGCTACTTACTTCAGAAACACTTCTTCAAGAGTAGAGACGCCAACACCGATGGAATCGATGCCCAGTTCCGATCGCTTCTCTTCTAACGCTGAGAACAGCTGAGGGAACTTCTTCACGTTAGCAGCTGGCAGGTTGTAAGAGAGTGAGTTTATGGTCATCTCCTTAAGAGTAGAGTCCGCCACTTGTGACGTCACTACTTTCGTGATCGCTTGCTCTTTAGGCGAGCCAATCGTCGTGAAAGATAACCGGTAGCCGGTACCTGGAAGATAAAAAAACAAAATTAAAAATAATTTATTTGACCGAACAAGGTATACAGTGGTATATACAAGGTGTAGTTTTGAAGCCGTGTCATTTCTCGGGGGCATGTCACAGAAGTCATAAAGGTTCAATGTAAAAGAAAGTTTCGGGCCAATAGTTAAAAATACAGCTATAGTAAATCGTTTAAGTTCGACAGTATTTCATAATAAGCGACAGCAATGTTTCTTATTGGAGTTTTATGGAACTAGGAATAATATCAATTACGTGTTTGAGTTTGTGTATGTTAAGCCGCGTTACAAGACGGCGGCGTGTAGTTCGCACTTACGGATTTTCGCAATTTACAGAATAATGAAAAATATTTAAGTACATTTTTTTTATTGATTCGAACTCAGAATCGATAGCCGAGTTACCTCCTAGAAAATGACGCGGCTTTAAAACAACACCTTGTATAATAAGAGTAGAAAATAAGGGTAAGGGAATAAGGGTAGAGCCCAAAAATTTATTTAAATGTCCGTCTGGTACATTAATTTAAAACTTTAGACACGTATTTTCTCACAAAATTAAATATTTTCGACGATATATTAATTTTAAATATCGTGTGACGTCACAGCGTGCCACATTTTGTGGCACGTTATGACGTAACGACCCCCCATTCCTAAAGTTAGCGCTATTTTATCTAAGTATTGCAACTTAATAAGAGAAAATAAAAAAATGCGTGTCTAATATTTTTTCATTATTTAACTGACGGACTAATTGGATTTTTAATTTTGATAACCTGGAAACTACCCAAGGTTAGGTTAAAGTTAGATCGATGTGTACATAGACAGACATAGCTGTCAAACATTTCTTTTTTAGTTTGTACTACAACTCAAGTATTGTATTGTTGTAAGAGGTAAAGTCATAGTATTTTGTTGCGTGAAATCAATGTCTTGACTATTCAACATTCATAACACTAGTTTACAGTACATCTGTTGCCAAAGAAATTTTAGCTGTTGCTGACTACATATGATATGCTATTTTCAAAAATATAAGTAAAAGATTTTTATCAGCTCTAGTTTCTGAGTTCCAGCTATGAAGGTATAAAACAGAAAAAAACATGTATTTACTAAGAAAAACTTT